CTAGGGTGGAAACAGCTCTCTCTCAACTCCCGAGAGCAGAACCCACTGCCAAGCGTTAAGTTTGGGCTGAACTCAATAGCTTATCCTCACTCCACTGTCAGCAACCCAAATACATCTCCTGTGAAAAAAGCCCCTTAGCATTATTAAGACAAACATCTGTGAGTCTGTGATTGAAAAGTTTTAACTTAATAAGTTTGAGATTAATAATGCTCTTTGTTTATCCGTCAATATGGTTGCTATCTGCATCACAGCAGGATAGATATGTTTGTACCACACTTTGCTACAATACAGATGTATTAAAAAATACAGCCACGCTTCATTTGCTCATAAAAAAAAAAATAATGCTCTAAAATGCAGAATAAGGCATTCCAAAGTCTATTACGAAACTACTTTCAGATGACTGGGCAGTTGTTTTCTATGAATCTGGGAGAATTGGTTTTGGCACACAGTGCTTAATTATAACGAAAATGCTTACTTGAAGCACTTTTGTAACATAATTTGAGCTAAGCATCAATAATTGGTGTGTATAAAGTTTAAACCTTTGCTTTCCAGGCTCATTTTATATTAAAGTCAGTTAGTGGTTAGTTTGGGTAGATGGTGGCTCACGATAAATGAACAAGTATGTGCATGTAGAGGGTGGAGATGAATGGGATAAAAGACGATGAGACAGACAGGGAGGGAGGAACGATAACTAGGGTGAGGGAGTGAGGGAGGTGATACAGCATCTGTCTGAGTTCACCTCGGCTTTGCTGCCGGCTGATGACACCCCCCAACGTCCATCTCCGGTCCAGCCTCTTCAGATGAGCCTTATGCCGCTTAGTAACTGACAGACAGAAATGGTGACCAGACGACGACCACAAACAAACAAACAAACAAACAAACAAACAAACAAACATTGGAGACATGAAGACGAAGCACAAATGTTAACCAAACACACAACACACAGATGACACGGAGCCTCATTATTAGCTACATGGAGGACATGAAAACAAGACCACAAGCAAAACAGGGTGGACAGGTAGAGTGGATGGATGGAGGTTACAGAGGAAGTGTTAAACCAAAGACATCTTCTGTGTGGCTTGTAATTAGGACGTTGTTAGCATGGTTTTCCCATCCTGTTGTGCTAGAGCATCTGGGACACACATTGCTGCAGCAAGAATGCCATCCAATTAATAATGCAGCTGAGAGGGCCGCAGGTTGGAGCTGTGTGCTCAGGATTATCATCTTTTGGAAATGCTTATGAAAAAGTAAAACTTCAAAATGTGTGCAAACTGCAGTCTTCCTAAATGATAAAGGAAGTAGTTTGGGAATAGTTAAACTTTCTATAACAATATCAATTTGACCATAAATGTAATTTTAGGGAACATTATACTTAATTTGTTGGGTCTTTTAGCTTAATGTTTACAGTGGTGCTAAGAAACAGCTAGCATGGTTTTGTCCATATGCAACTTTAGATCTCAAAAATATGTTATATCTTATTTGTTTGGATCATACACAAAATGGCATGTACTATTGACAATCAATCAAAGTCTAACTATTCATTTGGGCAATATATATATATTTTTGTGTGGCCAAAACAAGGGGGAGATCATATATATATATTTACTTCCATCAATGGATAAACTTACATCTCATGCTGCCTGAACTTTCAACATGTCTCTGTTATTTTTTCAAAATAAGCAAGAATATGTTGGAGGTTTTTCTGCAAAAGTGCAATGGCACAGGCTGCTGAAGACCACAGGCCTGACAAAGAGATGCTTTGTGAGTGTATTGCCATTCCAATGACTGACTAGACACATAATCACTAATTACATTGACAGATTGTCCTCCTCAAAAACCCCCTGGCAGCTAACTCCAGCTATCTCTAACAGAGCAGATAGGAGTATTTGGCGTGTGGTCATACATTTGAGGCATGCGTATATTTTGAAATCTTCTGATAAACCTGTACTAAATTGGGAGAAATGTAAACATATTTAACAGATTGTGAAACAGTACCACTGTTTAGCCTCATGTATTCCCTCTCAGCCTCCACCCTTGAGTCATAAGATATACAACACCGAGGGGATCCTGGGTCGCATTGTTACGCAGTACAGCAATTGTAAAACAATAGATGTTTTTTGGCCACAGTGCTGGAAAATCTTGATGTTTTTTTGGAAGTGCAATTTGCAGCTTAATTATTTCCGTGCCTGCAGTTTGTTTGGTTTTCTCTAACACAATCCTGCATTAATCTTAAACAAGCTGCAGTTGCTGCTCTACCTGTCAAAGCCTTTAAAGTCTGAGGATCTGATACGAATTGAGCTTGATTGCTCTGCAATTAAAAAGTTTTCCCCACTAATGTAAAAAATGCTTGAAGAAGGACACTATGGGTTGGTAAGAGTCTCCGACAGTCCTATCAGGATGATTGCACGATTGGACACATTAAGAGTCTGGCAAACCAATCTCTACATAGGCGTGTTTCTTATCAGAGTTTTGGATCCCTCTCTGACTCAAGTAAGCTCACAAAATGTGTGTCAACAGTGTTCTACTGTACTGAAACATGTCTGCATTTCACAATGATATGCACAAACAGCATGAAATAACAAAATTCACATGGGAATTTGTTTTTAATTTACCATAACCATAATTTTGGCGTGTCTCATTTGAGTTCATGTTCTATCCCTTATTGCTGATTGAAACACATGCCTCTTTCATGAAGTCACACCATGGTGGTAGCATCATCAAATATTGCTCTGCATCTTTACTCTACAGTGCATTACTGTGCAGCACATCACTTCAGTGGCTGTGGTCTGGTCTCTCCTGGCAATCCTCCTCGCTGTTTACCCAGACCTGAATCTAAACTCTGTCCAAGCGTGCTTATGATGGCAGGCAGACAGAGAGAGAGGTGTTCACACCGGCGGCGTCAGACGTTAGCGTAGGCCGGCAGTGGTGAAGTCGGGACGAGTTTGCTCCGTTCCGTCACGTATCAAAGACTAAAGGCTTAGAGCAGAGGTTGTGTCTGTGTGTGTGTGAATATAACAGAATGTGTGAGGTTTTGTGTGTGTGTGTGGGTGGGCAGAGGAAGCAGACAGTGACTTACCTTCCCCAGCTTTGGAGGCGCCAAGCTCCAAGTCATCCCGTGTGCCGCTGTGGGAGTGGAGATAGGTAGCAGGGACCCAACCCTGCTCCTCTGCTGTGCTGACGAACCACCAACCTGAGGAGACATACAGAGGCTGAACATCACCAGGACTATTTACAGAAGGGCTTCAACCTACTTTGATAAATATTGATAAATCTGCTGATTATTTTATAAATGTGTTAATACGTCAGAAAATAGTGGAAGATGTCCATGCCGTTATTTTTAAAGATGATGTCTTGACATTTCTTGTTTTGTCAGTCCAAACCCAAAATATGTTCAGTTTGATATAATATAAAACTGAAAATATATACACACATTCATATTTGAGGAACTGGAATCAGCATTTTCTGCAATAAATTAATTAAATCCATTTGGCTTTAAGTTTTTTTTGTTCTATTGTTCAACTAAAATGCATGGTTCAGCTTAGTAAAGAGGTTCATAGTGTGCAGGATGTTAAACAGATATTTCACAAAATGCATCACATAGCAAGATAAGAGGATTTTTTTTTTACACATGAATTTGGCCCGAAATGAAACGATTATTTCCCAAATAAATCACATAACAAATCTCTATATAATGGATTATATCTGGTGATGTTACCAAAGGTCTAGCCTGGCTTATATCTCCCGTCAAATTTATATATTTTTGTATTTAGTTATTGACCCCTGATATGATCAGATTTCTCAAATCCCTTTGATGAACTACCAATAGACATGAACATGAGGAAGTCAATTGTATTGTGCACTTTAATTAGAAACAGAGCCAAGAACATCAGAGGAAACACCGCCTGGCTGCGGCTCCACTCGTGATGAGGTCTTGTTCAACCTGCGTTTCATCAGGATCACTCATGATATAAGTGGGCAGGACATTTCTGAAGTGCTGTTTCTGGCCAAAATATTCATATGCAATGTTCCAACTAATTTGACTTTAACCCTCTGGGAATGACAGCATTGCTCCAACAACTGCATTATGGTTCAGCCGTAAGAGGTGCAGATACAAAATACACTTCCAAAAATCTGATCCCAATAATGTGAGTAGAGTACAGATATCCTTTTTGTTAGATAAAATGTGCTGTATAGGGCCTTGTGTATACATTGAGAGCCCCCAGCTCATTATTTAAACATATACATTCACTCTAAATGTATAAGTACAGGTCCGTTCTTAACAGAAAGCCAATGTGACAAAGCTGGCACAAAAACTGTCTGGTGTGTCATGCCACACATACGCTATTTGTTGTGGTAACGGGAATACAATATCGCTGACAGCTGTCTGGATAACCCATAAAGAGGATAGGGGGCTTCCATCACACTTTCACAGCTGGCCCTAACATCCAGTGTAAATTTTTCCTACAGAAATGGTGGGTTACGACGTAATTTAGTTGCACACAATTAACAAGGTGGAGCAGAATCTAGTATGATTGGCAGGAACATAGAAAATATGTATTACTCAATTAATAATATGGCGAAATAATCAAATTATAGGATACCAACATGGAAATGCAAAACAACAAGCAAATTAATGTTAGACCATTATGTTGGACAAATTGTATTTAGGTTAATAACATGTAATTACTTAATTGTGTAGTCATTCATCATAATTAGACATATGGCAATTAAATGTTGCTATAACTTAATATTAAAGATGTTTTTACTGGAGTTTGAGGTAGACAGGAAAGTACAAAGTGTTTCAATCTATTTTGTTGGATCTGCTTTGTGTGGAGTAATTATTTTTGTTTAAGTCAGAGAATTTGAGAAATGACAAAGCCCAAAGAGTGGAGATTCTGCCAACTCTGAACAACTTCTCAGCTGGTATGAGACATCATGTTTATTTCTGTAATGTATTGCTCTTTGCAAGAATGCCCATGGTATTTGTGTAAGTCAGGCGGTTTCATACTATAGTTGAACATAGTTCTGATGACTAAAATAATTCAATGTGTCCACCAAATGTTTCTGGAATCTAGAGGCGCAAGAGCTATCCTGCTGACGGTCCAAATTACTTCCTCAGTGGAGGACATAACAAAGAAAATCTTTCCAGACCTTTTTGTAACTTAAGCACGCAATCTCTGCGATTCATATGACGGATTAAATATTTAATTGACTAAATAGTTCAGCTACACGACAAAATAATCAGTTGCACAGTGGGGGTGTTTTGGGTGGATCCTGAGGGAAGGATGCTTTTAGAGCCTGGCACTGTGAGACATGCTGGCTAGGGCTCAGGTATGCAACACGCCATGTAATTTGCTCAGTCTTTGCTGTGGCTTGAACAAAACCTCATGCCAATACATCAGGAAAAAAGAAAACGTTGTGTACAATATTCACGACCCCTTAAATAGACTTCCTCTTTCCATATTGGAGCTAAAATGTTGTGAGAAGATTCAATTAGTGTCACCTCCGCCAAGAAGGTGATGTTCTTGGTTTGTTTTGGTTGTCAGCACCATCAAAGAAAAACTACTACTTTTCATAAAACCTGGTGGAAGAGTTTAGTATGGGCGAAGGAAGAAGACATACAAATTTGGAGCTTATCCGAATAATGGGGTGTATATGTGTAATATTTTTCATTTATGGAAACAGCCTGCAAAAGGAGGTCAGTGCTCTATGAGTGCCCTTGAGTTAAATATAAATTACACTGACATCCTAATAAAAGGAGCTATTTACACCATAAGTGTATTTACTACAGTATATCATACTGGGTCACTGAGAACATTTAAATGCATGTTAAGTATTAAATGAACGGCAAAGGGCAACACTTGCTACATTAATAGTTAATTAAATTAAACTGGCTATTATAAAGAAAGGTCAAATTGGCAGGAGTAAAAAGACGTGCCAGCCCAGTGAAGGAAAAACCTTACATTTGCAAATTGCCATTTTCCCACTGACTTGCCTGCTTAGGGGAAATGTCATTCTCACCTCAGCAAACCGACACTTACAGAAATGTAAGCAGTGGTATGAGAATAAGGTGTGGAAATGTAGTTTAATTTAGAGAACTTGGCTTTGAGTCTGACTATATACATACGCAGCAAAGACACATTGCCATGTTAAAAGCCTGAGTAAATATATTCTGTTATTGATGGCTAGGGCTGTCTTGCCTGTATTTCTCAACCATCCTCCATATGGCAGGTGCTTAGGCTGAGTTTACTGAACCTCAAAAGAAGCAATAAAAGTCCTTTTAAAAACGCACACACATTACGCAAGTGCCAATTTCCTGGTCGTTGCAGGTTTATATCATGCAGGTTGCAATTATGTAAAGTGTAGAAAAAAAACCACTTCTAAATGAGAAACCTGCTCCATATCTTTCATCGCATGTATTCATTCCCAGTGTTTGCTCTACACACCTCCAAATAACCAGCTCCATAAATCCTTGTACAGCCAATGCAAAATGTAATTGTGCTGAAACCATGTGGTGGATATGAACTATGATTTAAAGTGAAACTCACATATGGTCGTCACATATTGTATCCTGTTATTGTGATAATTCTTGTGGCATATTTCTCCATTAAGGCTGGGAGGGGAACATGATTCCTGAAGATTGGATAATGTCAACCCAGGGTTATCGTTTGTACATTCTTCATGATGACACACACCTTAAACTGAGGTCATAACAAAAGAAACAGCTGTTTTTTGGGTCTCCTGTTGCCAAGACATCAATTTTACTCAAAGTTAAAAGGTTAAAAGTGAAGCTCCTGTGAGGTTTGAGACTAAAGTTTTGGAATCAGATGATGAAAGACCAAATGGCAGATAATGGAAATACGATTAGGAGAAGAACGTGTTTTTTCTTCCTTGAATACAGATGGCAGGGATTATCTGTACAGATGTGGGAGGAACAAAGATTAAGGAAGCATACCTTGTGTCTAGAATTATGTGCGTGGGTTTGTCGAATAGAGAGAGCAGACATATGTTAAATGGAAAGCTATATCTATGTCTTTATCTTTGGCTTTTTATCATTTCTTTCAGTTTTTTAGTCTTCATCCCAACCTGCTTTCCCTCATGTCTCAGTCTCACTGCCTTGCTACTCACATAAGGAAAAAGAAAATTCTTGGAAAGCTTCGGCACAGTTTCAACCGCAAAGGAAAAAAAAGAACATGCTGACTGGCAACACAAATAGCTAAACATTATTCAAATCGTACGAATAAAGCTACTCAGTAAAAAAAAAACGTTTGAGCAGAGTTTAGTTTCGTAACCTCGACAGATAGGGGGTCAGTGGTTGCATAAGACAATAGCTGAACCCACAACTCTCTGGTGGAGATGTCATATAACACCATCACATCATAGTATCGAGACCACAGACATCAACCTCCAATGTGAACGCCTTGGAAAGGAAGAAGTCAAACGGTTTGTCTTGAAAACACTGTTGTATTTTGTTACAAGGACATCAGGAAAAACGGAATGTTTAATGTAGAGCTGGGGGCGAATTGTAACTAAGTTTATTCCTCAGTAGCCTGCTGTGAGCTGCAAAAACTCTGGTCGTATCAATTTAAGTACGTGCTTTATTCCAATAATTTCTGTAATAAAAAAACGAAAACGATGATGTCAGCCTTATTTTGCCAGCATGAAACATAAAGATCCAGTTTTTAAAGCAAAAATGTCTTTCTCGAGGAGAAAGCCTGCATCAGAACCTCCTATAATATTTTATATCTTGTAATTCCCTGTAATCTCCGATGATTGCGTGGCAACTTGGCGCACAGAACCCAAATTGGCATATTTAAAGTTTGATCGAGGCGAGGGCTGTCACCGTTTAGATATTTTTACAACACTATTATTGAGGACAAAATAATTCCCAATAATGATTCTGTTGTGATAATGGTAGAACATTTGAAGAAAAAATATATAATAATATCGTCCGTCAAATTAATCTTTAACTTTGTGTGTTTTGTCTCTTTTTGGCAAATGCATTACACCTGAAGTGTAGGAAGTTGGACAGAGCCCGTAAACATAACCATAAAAAAGCATGATTACAGAGGTGCTGGATTATTTACAAAATATTATCATTGTGTATTATTAAGATGAAATCAATATTCAAGTTTTTGAATATTATGGTAATGGTCATTGCCGGTATCTGATGACTAACACTTGAGGTTATACGGACATAGAGGGCTAGGTGTATTTTGTTACTGTCGGACGGATTAAGGCTAGCTGTTTCCTACTGTTTCCATTCGTTTGTGCTAAGCTAAGCTAATCGACTCCTGGCTGTGGCTTCATGTTAAATACACATTTACCTCTCCACCAGAAAGAGAAAAAGCACACTTCCAGAAAATTATTACTGATTGCAAAGCTTTTCAAAATGGATTGTTTCTTAAGTGAAGACAAATTAATGTTTGTTATTTCAAATGAAGATTTTACAGAACTTTGATAATGCCAGATGGTAAAATGCAACTGAGATATTCCTGCAGCCAAGAAAGTAAAAACTTTGATGCAGTTGTCTCTCTGAACTTATATTCTTTCCATTGTACAGACATAGAAAGAGAGCGAGCAGTATTTCTGAACTCTGTGTCTCTCATACAGTATCTGCCATCTGGAAACTCTATCAGCTTTAAGACCTGGGTTTCATTTTTACAGTAATCAACAACAGATTCTCAGCTGCAACAAGAAACTAGATTTATGTCATTTCGGGTTTTTCCTAAGGTGACTGGATGACCTATAAAACAAAACCGCAATCTTCGTATACAATCAATCACCTAAGAAATATCATATATAACACAATGTGACATTGCAATGCTCTACTCATTCCGACAAATGCATCATTTAGACAAATTGACCTCAAACTGTGCAGAGAGTTTTTTTTTGGAGTAACTCTGTAATACTCACTAAGGATTTCGACACATCTAGCATGAGAACCAGAGATTCAGCCGCACAAAGAGGCTGTTTTTCACGACCTGAAATGATGAGGAGTGCAATGGCTCAGCAGTCCTGCAGATATCTGACACCACTGTTGAGTAGAGTAGGAGAAAAACCCCATTCATTTCCAGCTTCTGTATTCATTAACAGTGGATTCAGTATCAGAGCACGGGGGGGAAGGTATTCAGCCCAATATACACACGTTTCCAGTTTTCATAAAACACTGGGTTTCAATTACCTGGGAGTCTATGGTAAGAGGGAAGGGCGGAAAAAAAAAACGGCACAACTCGACTTTCAAGAGCTCGTGTTGACCTAAGGAACAACCTTCTCTCCCTCCCAGCCTCTGAAAGGATCCCCTCATGGTCTCAACTAAAGCTGTGTGCTCTCCAGGCTCCACTGATTTGGAGACACAGCAGTCCTTGAGTTTCTGAAAGACCACCCTTTAAAATACTGGTTTAACTCAATGGTCAATTCTTGAGTGAGACACAGAGGCACCTTTTTGGCTGCAGTCGGATTTCTGTGCGCTATTATTACCACTATTTGTACTCTTAAATACTGTTATTGCTCCTGTTATACAACTCATCTGCTTGTATGCAGCAGCAGTAGAAGTCTTGAAGAGCTAAAAACGCAATTTGCAAATTTCCCATTTAAGTTTCCGTATCTAAAAATACAGGATAAGGTTAATTCCTTGAAATGGTCATTAGTTCTTCCTATGGTAAGCTGAAAGAATGTGGTAGATGGGGATCACTATGAGTGGATGATGTGGTTTCCATCTGTTGCTGGTTCAAAGGTTTTTACTTAAAAAAGACTTTTAACACTTGGAAAGTTTTCTGTATCATGTCTTCGGTGGTTCACTGACAAGAATTATAGGGTTTTTCGTCTTTTGTACAAGGAAACATGTTCTTGCTGAAACTGCACATACCATTCTGCATAAACTGAGGGTTTGAGAACGAACAGTACTAGATGTTCGGAGCTGACCTTGCCCCTTATCCTCCTGCATCAGAGAACATTTGGAAAGGAAAGTAATACATTCAGCTGTCAGACTTGCAAGAACTACTGTTGCTGAAAAAAGTTATTTCCATTCTCTCATTAACTCGCTGAATATTATGGCAACACGCCTTTTTGTGCCTTTATCTAGGTACAAAGGAAAGTCATCTGTAACTCTAATAAAGTGTTATATGAGGGCCTAGAATTGTTTCCCAGGAGGAACAATACATCATCTAAACTGCGAGCTACATTTATTACATTTACCAAGGTTATGTCTTCCATATTTGTTGTTGTCCATACATTATAGCTCAAACAAGACAAAGAAGAAGGTTGATGATATTCGCTCTTCTTTTTCTGACTCACCTTTACTCACCGCTGGGTCACCAGACCCTCCTTTCACCCACACACTGACCTCCTTCTCCCCTCTCTCTCCAAGTGAGGTTCTTACCCTCTTACCTCTGCCCGTCCTACCACCTGTCCTCTGGACCCTATCCCCTCAAACCTCCTTCAGACTATCGCTCCTGATATTCTACCGTTTCTCACCCATTTCATCAACACTTCTCTAACTTCTGGTCACTTTCCAAACAGTCTCAAGGAGGCAAGAGTAAACCCTCTCCTAAAGAAACCCACTCTCAACCCGTCTGATGTTAAAACTACAGGCCTTCTCTCTCCTCCCGTTCCTGTCTAAAACACTTGAACGCGCTGTCTTTAAACAACTCTCCTGTTATCTCCATCAGAACAACCTTCTGGATCCGCACCAGTCTGGTTTCAAGGCAGGTACAGAAACTGCCTCCTTGCTGTCCTGAGGAACTGCACACGCTAAAGCAGCTCCCTCTCCTCTGTCATCATCCTTTGGACCTGTCTGCTGCATTCGACACGGTGAACATCAGATCCTCCTTCGCACTCTCCAAGAATTGGAGTTTCAGGCCTGCACTTTCCCTCCTCACCTCATACCTCAAACCGCACCTACAGGGTACTTGGAGAGGGTCCGAGTCCGACCCTTGTCAATTAACTACAGGGGTCCCTCAGGGCTCTGTTCTTGGTCCCCTCCTCTTCTCCTTGTACACAAACTCGCTCGGTCTGTCATTAGCCCGCATGGTTTTTCATACCACTGCTACGCTGACGACACCCAACTAATTCTGTCCTTTCCCCGCTCAGAGACCCAGGTCGTCGCACGCATCTCTGCTTGTCTGCTGACATCTCTCAGTGGATGTCTGCTCATCACCTCAAGCTCAACCTTGACAAGACTGAACTGATTTTCCTTCCGGGAAAAGATTGCCCCACTCTTGATCTAACAATCAACATCGGCACCTCTGTTGTTTCCCTGACTCAGACTGCAAGGAACCTGGGTGTGATCCTAGATAACAAACTGTCCTTCACTGCAAACATCGCTGCTACAACCCGCTGCTGCAGATACACGCTTTACAACATCAGGAGGATACGTCCCCAGCTGACCCAGAAATTAGCGCAGGTTCTGGTCCAGGCTCTCGTCATCTCACGCCTAGACTACTGCAACTCCCTCCTGGCTGGTCTACCTGCATGTGCCATCCGACCTCTGCAGCTCATCCAGAATGCAGCGGCTCGTCTGATCTTCAACCTTCCAAAATGCTCCCACACCACGCCGCTCCTCCGCTCCCTTCACTGGCTTCCAGTAACTGCTAGAATCCACTTCAAGACTTTGGTACTTGCGTAGCAGGCACTGCACTTTCCCTCCTCACCTCATACCTCAAAGACCGCACCTACAGGGTAACTTGGAGAGGGTCCGAGTCCGACCCTTGTCAATTAACTACAGGGGTCCCTCAGGGCTCTGTTCTTGGTCCCCTCCTCTTCTCCTTGTACACAAACTCGCTCGGATCTGTCATTAGCCCGCATGGTTTTTCATACCACTGCTACGCTGACGACACCCAACTAATTCTGTCCTTTCCCCGCTCAGAGACCCAGGTCGTCGCACGCATCTCTGCTTGCTAGCGACATCTCTCGTGGATGTCTGCTCACACCTCAAGCTCAACCTTGACAAGACTGAACTGCTTTTCCTTCCGGGAAAAGATTGTCCCACTCTTGACCTAACAATCAACATCGGCACCTCTGTTGTTTCCCCGACTCAGACTGCAAGGAATCTGGGTGTGACCTAGATAACAAACTGTCCTTCACTGCAAACATCGCTGCTACAACCCGCTGCTGCAGATACACTCTTTACAACATCAGGAGGATACGTCCCCAGCTGACCCAGAAAGCAACGCAGGTTCTGGTCCAGGCTCTCGTCATCTCACGCCTAGACTACTGCAACTCCCTCCTGGCTGGTCTACCTGCATGTGCCATCCGACCTCTGCAGCTCATCCAGAATGCAGCGGCTCGTCTGGTCTTCAACCTTCCAAAATTCTCCCACACCACGCCACTCCTCCGCTCCCTTCCGGTAACTGCTAGAATTAGGGCAGGGCGATTTGGCCTAAAAATTAAATCTTGATTTTTTTTTCTAACTAATGGACAATTTTCGATTTAAACCTCGATTATTTTCTTTTTTTTTCTAAACAAACCAGACCAAGACAAAATTGAAATACATATTTTCTTTATTAACACAATAAAAATAAATGAGATTACCAAGTTGACTTTTTTTTTAGAGACATCCGGTAGGGACTTTTTTGAACATTTTACTTTATGGTTGTTTATTATAGCCTGTCTCGACCGTCTAGCCCATCAGGGTGTCTGTTACACCGACTCAAAACACGGCGCAAGCTCTTCCCAGATCGACGCCGGGTCTGTCAGTGTGTTCGTGATGGTGCTGTGATGTTTGTCTGTGGCGGGGTGGACTGTGCTGTGATGCCACCGACTTTCCGTGATGGCAATTTTCGGCTTAAACTGCTCTAAATGTAGTATGATCGGGCGCGGCGAGGCCGTGACAAGTACAATGCCGCACAAGTGCATGATGTACTAAGAGAAATGGGTACCTACGTCGTTATTGTTGCCTGGTATAGGGAATGACGGTCGGGTGCCTCGACATTATTACCTCTATAACGTGTACAAACGACATTAAGTAGTAAACAGTTTATAATATGTATTGTAACCCGCATACTCATTTAGGAGCAGTTAAGCGAAATTGCCATCACCGGAAAGTCGTGGCATCACAGCACAGTCCACCCGCACAGCACATCACAGGCACCTCACGACCACATGACAGACGCCGGGCGTCGGATCTGGGAAGAGCTTGCGCGTGTTTTGAGTCGGTGTAACAGGACCACTGATGGGCTAGACCGTCGAGACAGGCTATAATGAAACAACATAAAGTAAAATGTTCAAAAGAGTCCCTCCGGTGTTCGTCTAAAAAAGTCAAACTAAATTTTTTTAGAAACGTGTAATTACTTGTTCGGTTCACCACGCAAAAATAAATAAATAAAGATAAGAACTTGGGTTGACTAACCAAGTGTATCCNGCCCCAAACTTTCTTTTCCCTGGCCACATCAACCAGCTCTGACTGGGGGAAACCAGATGGAGGGATTATATCTCTTCGCTGGCCTGGGAGCGCCTTGGGATCCCCCAGTCAGAGCTGGTTGATGTGGCCAGGGAAAAGAAAGTTTGGGGCTCTCTGCTGGAACTGCTACCTCCGCGACCCGACCACGGATAAGCGGGAGAAGATGGATGGATGGATGGACACTGCCTGTGCCTTATTGATGATAAAATGTTTTTCTACCACTTCTGATAAATAAGTCTTTCATATTTACTCACTCGAGAATAAATGCCAAAAATCAGAAAATCTTGAAAAGAAAATCTTTACAGAAGTTCGGTTTGCTAAAAATGATTTAGTTTGTTTACATTTACTGGGAATCAGTGCTCAAAGGAGTACACAGACGTTTTACTTAGGAGTAGCAATACAACAATGACAAAAATGACACTAAACATTCTGTATAACATGTTGAATCAAAGCAAATTTCAATATCTACACATTTGGAAAAATGTAAATATCTTTAAAAACAATTAAGAATCAGTGCATAGTAACATATACCTAACACGCATTAGTGCTCTGTGTCATTCCCTTTTCCGCCACATTCAGAATGAAACAGTGCTTTATTTTCAAAGTCAGTTTGTAACAAGATAAACGAGGCTTCACTCCAGAGTATTGATTCCTCCGTGTCACAAACAGATGCTCCATCATTGACTGGGAGACACAATCATATTAGGTTGACAACAAGGTGAAGGCTGTGTTATAACGGAATGACAGCTCATCTCCTATAGATACAAATGGATTCACACTTCTTCTTCCTCTTCCTCCCTTCTCGCTACACGTTTACGTATCAGCAGCTGCAAATCATATGCAACTATTAAAACCATGTGGGTTGTATGATATGTTGATTTGTATTCTCTAAGTATTCTGGATTTCCATTGTTGTGTCTATTATGGGTTATGATTTGAAGCCACATGACAGTGTGCAGACTGTATGGGCCAGATTTACACTCTTGTTCCGCCTGTTGTTCTTGTGCTCTCCAAACAGATGCTCCATCAAATCTCTTTATACTTTGCTGAGCAATGGGAGTCACGCACTGTCACTCCATGGTCCCCATTCAAAGAATTTGAATATAGGAGCTGTCATTCAGGAGCTGTGTGCAGTGTGTGTGTCTACTGGTTCCTGAACATATGCCAATGACTTCTTTTTTGCATGTCTTTTTCTTTTTAAATTTGTTGTAAATTCAGCCTTCAGGTAATATCTGTGTTTATTCACATCTGGTTATTATCCAAAATTGACAGCGTTGTAAAAACATTGACCCCTTAAGAAGTCTCTTGCTAATTCAGTTCCATTTTTCAAAATGTCCTCTTATCGAGGTATCTCTAAACTGCTGCACTTCAACCATCGTTACCATTTGCCATCAGGGAGGGTTTCGCAGATCAATGCCCGTCTGTGTAAAAAAGAATTATAAATACTGATGTGTATTTTTTTCCCTTTTTATTAATAAGGCTCTTTTATATTTCAGAACATCTGAGTGTCATCTGGTCAAGTGACTGATAATGAAATGCTCTGTGCTCAGAAAACCATACACATGGAGAAGAAATCAGCTGCTCTCAAGTGAAGGTCAGGGCTCCAGATCAACCCCCCCCCCTCCCTCCCACCGGATACAATCAATGCCCCCATGGAAGTTTGATGGCATGTTAGGGCCTTTTGTAGGTAACATATAAATAATTATGATGCCAGGGGAGGGGGTTAATATTCTAAGAATACAGTCAGAATTGCTTAGATGAACTGCCCTTGTAAATTGTACATTTATTAGAAAACACTTGAATATTCTCTGAGTTAAAAGTAAAACAATATATTAAAGAAATCACAAAAAAATGCAATGTTGGATTCCCAGACCACTGAATGTCTTATTCTTGCAGTGAATGCATCAACTTAATCGACAGATGCAACAATATCGCCATTGTCCATACTGTATTCCCTTCTTTATACCTACAAGGGTCATATGGAAGCGATCGTTGATGTTGTTAAAATATCTGAATTGCTTCATGCTTGAAACCCTAAGGACTGAAGTCAGGGTTTGTGACTATAGAGGTGAGAGTTTGTAGTTGAGACATGAAATGCCTGTTTATTCTGGCCCAGGATTTGTTGGTGTTGTTGATTTATTTTAATATGGCACATGCCCTAAAGGCAAAGGCATGTTATAACAAGGTTAGATCTTCTTTTATTCAATCAGACAAAGATGCACTCTGAATAAGGTTAATCAGGTTCAATGTTCACCAGTTTCAAAGACAAAAACCTATTAGAAAAAGAAGCGGGCTCTTTTGTGCTGATCTGATTTTTAAACGGTTTCTAAATGTAAACTAATCCTGCCAGTTGATAACGCAAGCCCAGCAATAAGACAACATTGTAGCTTTCTATGATGATTACATTAAATGTAATTTTGTCCTAAATGCTAAATACAGTATGAGAGTTAGCAACGTTAGCTTATATTTCTTTATATTTTGGTAAATTAGCACAATATAAGGTATGGCATAATGATATATTAGCGGTTCCTGTCTGTACAGGATGTGCACACAGCTCTGTCACAAGATGACTTTGATACCGACCGAGGAAAACTGAACATTTTTAATGATTCTCATGCAGGATCTGGAGCATCTTGTTCTAAGATGCCCAAGAGAATTTAATGGCGCTTATTTGCAAATATAATGAACTCCCTCAGAAAAATAAGATATGACTGAGTTCCCTGAGATGTAGTGCAGCAATTGCATGCAAAATTAGGCCACATTACAATAACACTTTGTGTTTTTACACTTTTCAACTTACACAGTATCTTAGCTCCAACTGTGCTTCATAGTTTGAAACTATTCTTATTATTAATTAAGGTTGACTAGAGTGGCATCGTGCTTTCTGAGGCTTTAAGTCAGGGAACTGGCTGTGAGGCCGCAGAGTAATATAAAGTTTACCAACATTATTCTGCAGAGGCAAAAACCCCTCAGTGTATTGATTTGACCAGGGGTGTTTATTATTTATTTTACTTTCTTTTTTATTTCTTTCTCATTTTTATTTGTAGGAGGATGTACTGCATTTATAGCGCACTTTTTCTCGTCTACCAAACAATCAAAGCGTTTGACACCACATGCCAATACTCACCTAATAACACACATTAATACACTGATGGCAGAGGCACTCAACACTTTCTCTGGAGAGTGATGTGGCGCCATGCCACCCTGCTTATGTGATTTTATTTCAAATGTAACATTGCCTGGCTTTAAATCTGCAGATCATTGCTTCCTGAAAGTAATAATTTACGTCAATAAAAACGTCCATGATTTTATAGCAATCCGACACGGCTATAAATCACGTTACATGACGAAAATCTTCTGAGTCGCAATTTAAAGAGTTGGTGTGTAAATGCAAAATGAGTCGTCCTTTGTGCAGCAGAGTTTCTCTTGAATGTGTCTGTACTCATGACACAGTTTGTCTTCAGCACATCTGTCTCTACTCTGTAAAGCTGACATCATCTACTGTACACACATGTGATCCCAGGCACAAACACACACCCACTCTCCCCCCAGCAAAGGCCCTGAAGACACTTTTAGAGCATGCAATGGACGAGGGCGTAAATAAATCAAAAATCAACAACAGGCATCTGTTTTTTTAAAACTGACATGATCAGGATGCCGCCCCAAAACAGGCACATCGAAGGTCAGTGGAAGAAAAAAAGGAAACGCAGTATCGTCTGTGTCTTTCAGAGTGCAGGGAAATGGGACCAATTTTAGCCATGCCTTTTGATTTGGACCTTGCTCTACATAAATCACACTAATAAGAGTTAGACTTAATCACCAAGGATACAGATAAGGAAATGGCTGAGATGTTGCACTCTGTTGTCAAGGAAACTAGTCAGGATTGGCTGGGTGGCCTCGGGAAGCTCTCAGTAAACTGCTGACCAAAACCGTTCATGCAGCACATGGAAAAACCCTGAGAGAAACAATCATCCTCCTCTAATTCCTATAACTAGTATGATGCTTAAAATCTAACAGTTAAGACCAGATAATATGTATTTTATTATATTTGGACAAACAAAGGAAATTAATTGATTTGCCACATCGAACGTGTTATAGTACTGCACCCACAAAGATGCAGCAAATGCATTCTTAGTAAGAATAGCCACCTTTTTATAATTTCTTTCTTTCTTGTCAGATACCAACATATCTGAAATCAAAGTATCTTTTCTACAGCTTGTAGAGGAATAAACATATTAGGTATAGTTTACAGTAACACAATTTAATTTATTATCATATGTATTACCTGTAAAAAGAATATACAGATGGTTAAACTCTCTAATACTAGATGTATACATAATATATCATGTAAATACTTTATCTTTAAGGTCTGAGCCCCTATTCTCAAGCTTGTGTCCCATTTCCCACGTCTCCATTATGTCTTACGATTGAATTCTTATTAATTGTATTTTTGTTTACACTTAAACTACTGAAATTAAAGTTACCACCTGTTTTTATCTTCCTCACCTCATGTGAATCTCCTTTCTATACAGTGTAAATCTAGTGCAACTTGATATGCATATTAGACGAGAACAAATCCGGTGCATTTAGGAATGGCCGTGTTAAAAGTCTGTGAGAAATATTCCTCATGTAACTGAAAACTCTTGCAGCTGTGATATTGCTTGCATTAAAAAGTCCCTTTAGGGATAAGATATTACTGTGAGCTTGGGTATAGAATAATTCATGACTGGTGTGTGTGTGTCACACTCACATCTCTGAACGTAACTGCGACACATGATGATGCGAGCTGAATAAACATCTCGCAATAAGCATTATTACAGACCCTCATGCTGGCATTGAATATTTTGCTAAGTATGTGTTCAAAATCTGAACAGTATCTCTTTTTTTTGTGGATTTTTTATTATTAACTCCCATTTCGCTTTGTCAATTAATGAGATTTGTCTCCCTCTGGAAGGCAATTAAACAATGGACCCTGTGTTACGGTCCCTGCCAATTTTCTGACAGTCCTCCTTTATCAACACGCAACTATCTAACACCAATTACTGTCTATCTTTTCAAATACATGCAAATTAAAGTTGCAGCAAATTAACTGGGCTTTCCAGCTTATCCCGGGTACTGAAGTGTGGACCCACTGCTACTATATCTTTTATTTTGTCATTATTTCATCCTCCAATCCGAGTCAGTTTGTCCTCAAGGGTAAAATGATAGGAAAGGGTATTAACCTGACCCAAATCGTAATAACGGATTCATTTGACACTGATGTTTTTCTGTAATGTGTGACCAAGAAAAATCATTCTAATTTGTGTCTCTGAGGGTAAGTGAGAGAGGGAGCGATATAGTCTTAATACATATGTAAAAGAAATGTGAAATTCATGTCCAGAGCCCTTTCTGTAATCATAATCAGCTCGTATTTAACATATCTTCCTCTCAATGATCTAGCCCCCCCTAGTGTGTAAAGAAATGATCACGTAGGAGACTCCAGCCTCAAAGGTCCTCTTAAGACACTCATCGGCATCCATGCAGCAGACTGTTTCCACTAATGATTCAAACATTGAAACATTTGTAACATATTACAAACAAACAAACTACAGAAAATTGCTTTTTAAAAGAAATATCATTTTAATTTGAGCTTGCATCCTTACTGTGCGTTTTCCTCATACACCCCTTTTTAGTCAATTTCTGCCCACAGCTGTAACCGGTCTCTGCTGTTGCATACATTTGCTTTTCTAATCAACCAATTCCTTCAGAATTGCATAAATGTGCTCATTCAAACCACTAGGGGGCACTATGAAACAACCCAGCCAATACCAAATTAGCAGGGCGTCATAAGGGACGGTTATTACTCCAGCAGTAGCTGTTTGTTGCTGTGTTACTGAAAATGAAATTCAAAACAAACAGGTCTGTTTGGAGCACTTTTCCCTCATCCTCTCCAGCTATTCCTCCGATTTGCCCTCGTAGCCTTTTTTTCTTTCTTTCTTTTTTCGTACTCTCTTTTTTTTTTTTTTTTTCTAAACCAACCGGTGGTTATGTTGTCTGGAATATGCTAATCTGCTATGCACTGGCAACTCCCTGGGTGAAGATCACTTATTAAAAGCATAGTTGGGAGGGTTTATGCAAATTGAGTCAAATCAAAGCAAGCTTTCCCTTGGTTGGTTACCTCTTTGCATACATTGTGAATTTGAGACCAATATTTTATTCCTGATATTCTTCCTCACGCAGCCTGTGCTACTTTTACATCACCTCAGAGCTGTCTTGGTTCTGTATTTAATGTTGAATTGATGTTGCTCTGCTTTCTTTGCCCCTGTGTTGCTGCAGACAAACAGTTTGGGTGTCTGCAAAAGGAAAGTTTCATTTCCGTTGAGTCGATTGACAGATTTGTTAGAAGGAAAAGATGGATAATATCCGCTGTGGCCAAAGTCTGCCGTGAAGTAGTCTGACACAGACACTGATTAAGCCTCTTGAGATCTGAAGGGATTGTAGGTCTTAGTTGAGAGACAAAAAGAGAAACAAAAAGAAAGGAGTGAGCAGAATAAAGAACAAAACTGCAAATTGGATAGGATGAGATGCAAGTGTCCTGTGGGTGTGCTGGTTTTGTGTAACACGCTGTTCAGGTTGGACAAACAATCAGTTGTGCTTCCCTAACTCCAGACTATTAAGTGCAGGAGACAGGGGATAAGCAGATCTCAGATCATCAAGGAGGAACAGCCTGTCTGTATTGTTCGTGTCCAGCATCTACTTCTGATTCCTGGTCGTTATTTAGAAAAGTCACACTTTCTAAATGCTTCCGTTTCGCATACAGCCATGTATTGTAATGAAGGACTTAATTGGACCTCTTCACATGCATATGGGCTTTTGTTATACCACAGTAATGCAAACACACTTGACTTCTGAACTCACCCCTGCCCTTTACCGCGCCTTGTGCTGTGCAAAGGTGAGTCCTCTATGTTCCATATTTATATTTTGAAAGTAAATTAAGTAAAAAAGAGCAGGGGTCAACGCCTTCCCTCCACGAAAATAAGCAGACTCTGCAGTCTTGTGTTGAGTACTAAATATATATCACCAGCTGATCCTATTACTTGTGTAAATTGTAGTCAAACTGGGGTCTTCTAAGTAAAAGAGTAAGGTCATCAGTCATTACTCAACCGTTAACTGGAGCCATGCAGATAGATTGATTACAAATATTGAATGTTTGCCCGTGCTTCTAGAGGCATAATGCATGTCGCACAGATTTAGATTTAGATATAGCTTTATTGTCTCCCTTAGGAGAAATTTGTCTTGGGCATCGAGATAATAAACATAAAACATTTAGGACAATCAGTCATAGATACAGAACAGAGATCACATATCACATGGCAAAGAAACAAACAAGAAACATACGGTCAGGGCCGGCCCTGACCAATTTGCTGCCCTAGGCAAGATTTTAGCTGGTGCTGACACAAGATGTGTGCAACTGTATTTAGTTACCTATCCATGTGGACATGATTTAAGTGGGGGGTGGACCTAACCTCCTCTAGGGGGGTCCGGGGGCATGCACCCCCGGGAAGATTTTTTTTTTTAATATTGAAGTTAAAAGCATCAATCTGGTGCACTTTGAGAGCAACATTAGGATATCTATGGATACATCTCTCAACATCCATATGAAACATAACTGTAAGCCGATTTATTTTTTCTTTATGGATATTTTAAAAATCACTCTCCTTTTAAACTGTATTCTTGTTTATTAATAACAACTTTTTTGTACTGTCATATAGTATTTTATACCTGTTTTTCATCTATTCTCTTATAACTATAATGATCATATAAAGGTGTGCCTTTACCTCATTGAGCTGAGGTTATCAGAGCCTCTCAGTCTTTCAGGAGAGAGCTCTCTAAAGCTCTCTCCCCCGCGGCCGCTTACACAGTAAAGTCCAATGTTAATAAAAGCAAACAGAAGCTGTATACGTTTGTTGGGAGTTTGATTAATTTTAAATTAACACAAATACAAAATTAAAAGCTATAATTGAACACTAAAACCATCATTTAAAAAAAAGAACAATTTCACATAAAGGTTTTTACTGGGGCTGGGGCAGTTCAACTTATTTATTTTTTTATCTCAATTTTTTTTTTTGGCGCCCCCTATGGGTTGATGCGCCCTTAGCATTCGCCTATACTGCCTATGCCGAGGGCCGGCCCTGCATACAGGTACAGAACTTTCCCTATTGCACATATCTCTTGCATTCATACATAATCAAATATTGCACCTTCCCTACTGCATTCACACACAAATCAAATATTGCACTTTCCCTATTGCACCTATGCATAGTGTCCGTCAGATTGCACATATCCCTATTGTATCCATACCTATTTACACAAAGAGAACAAAGAGATAACATTTGACCATCTTGTCAACATGAATACAACCTTATGAAATCACACATGACTCAGTTATGACTGCAACAGATGTAATTTCTCTGAGTCTTATTTTATTATATTTTTAAATACACATGTAATACTATCATCTGCATCACCCCATATCATTACTGTGATAAATACAGTATATTGCTTTGAATCTGTTTGATAGCTCCTGTTGCACTTGCACTTGCAGGCAGACTTATTGCATGTGTGTTATGTTTTCAGATGAAGTCTTTGTCTAGACGTATTCATTTAGACAGATGCATTCCTCCGTTTCTTTGTGGGTCAATTCAGCAAGGTTTGGACTATAAGGGGATCACTTGAGCACATTTCAGCGTTTAACCCGAGCATAAACCCCATCAGCGCAGAAGAGGCAGCTGTGGATGATTCCTTAATCCAACCAGACACTGGGAGAGGTATTCATAAAGACAGAAAGGATTCAAACAGCATCCTACTGCTCAGCAGGGATGAAATTCCCAATGTGAATGCAGAAGGGTTTGCCGATTGCAAATTCTAATTGCAATATTAATCAATTACAGAGAATAAAAAGCTCATTTTTATGCCTTCCATGGGTGGCTGGCGTGCTGCTTTCCTGTAGTCGTTATTCACTGGATCGTATGAGGTTTGTGCTCTATTGTAAGAAAATGAAATGATCCCACTCAGCTTTGATATTTGCATATTCACTCGAAAACAAACGGCTTATTATGCAGTTTCAAAGTAGCTACATGTAGAACATATTGAATGTTTGCCGGACTTCTGTTGATCTAGTTACACAGAATCAGCCCTGCATTAATGGTGAACGCGGTTCAATAATGTCTCTGTCTGGATGAAAGCAGCCCCCCATAAAAACCATCAGAGGGCAATCGATGTGCTTTCATCCCCAGGACGGAAATTGCACTCATATGGCTCAGACTCTATGAAGGTCCCCCATCCAAAGCCAAATCATTAACATCAAACTTGCAGGAAAGAAATCAAAATGTCAGTCTGCCCTGCAATCTCTTGGCAGATGAGTATTGCCTCTATTTCTTATACAATTTCATTCTCCTCATATCTACTCCTAGCATAGCCTACTGTAGGCCTATTTCCCCCGGCATGTTTTGACTGCTTTGAATATGGAGAGTTTTGCATGCTGGAGAACTTTTTCTAAAGATATATTGAACAGACACTTCCTCAAATGAGCTACTGTGAATAATGGCTCTTTATTCCCTAAAGACTTCATTACCGGTACATGGTTAACTCATTTTAAATGACCTGTTCATCCAAAGTACGATACGATTTCACTCCTCCAGTGGTCTAACAATACTAATATATTTAATTAACATAGCTAATTTGTTTAATGTTCAAAAAGGCATTACAACAACAACACCATACAGATTTAACACGACTTTGTGTTGCTGACAGCGTTAAAATAATAACACTTAAAGAGTAATGAAGCAATTGGGATCGTCAAACACTCTCCCACTAAACATAACTTCCCTTATTCAATTTAGTATTTATTTATAGCTCTTCCTTCATTTGTAGTGTTGTTTTTCTGTTTTATTGCACTCTAAACTTAAAGAATTCACACTTTTCAAAGTCTATTCAAAGAAAGTAATTGTTCATACTTGCCAAAAAAAACATCAAATATGCTTCTAATGTATGTGATGGGGGGTTGAGGGAAGGGATCCACATTTATTGAACAAATATATTTTTAAGTAAAAAGGTATATATTGTTTAATGGTTTAAGTGGTTTAATAATAACCAGGGTTGTGGAGTAATGGAATACATGGATCAGGTTACCAAAACAACTATATCCTTACAGATAGATTAAAAAAAGATTGTATCACATTACTGTTACAGTTTAAATGGTGATTACTAGCAGGATTACAATGCATTTTAAAATAAAGAACGATATATTACGAAGCACATGTTCACACAGTACAACACTTCAGGGGTCTTAAAACACCCAGTGAAAATAGTCTTTAGTGAAACCACAGATATTCTTCCAGTCCATCACCTTAGCCTCTATAATGCATGGGTGGAAATGTCCTATCATTTTGTGTTCAAACAACATTACCATTCAGCGCAAGCTAAGCCTTCCAGCTACTGATATATGGTCAGTATCCAAGGAGTCAACATCGAGTTTGAGAAACATTCTCAGGTAAGTGCTTTGTAAACACCATGTTGTAGTTTCTGGTGGAAACTAACTAATACCTAGGGGGCAAAACCCAATTTTTTGGGAAATCAGACATGGAATGTTGTAAAAGGTTTTCCACCAGAAATGATATCTAGGACCTTCAACGATCACAACCTGGGTGGACAACCCGGTCAACTAGCTACTGGAAAGCTACAGTGAGGGTCCAAACAATGCAACCCCTATATGAAAAAAGTCAAGAATTCTGTCTCGATCAGATGCCATCATTCTCTTTCTGATTGAATATCTCTGTGACAGTTCATGGTAAAGACAAACTGAGCCAACCTATTGAAAGAGCAGAACATAAGCTTTCAGATGATGCCTTGGTTAAGCCTGTTCTCAATAAGGCCACTACATGAAACTGTGCCTTTTTTGTCTCTCCAAAGCATATCCATTTCACTTGTGGTCCTCTGGATTGTTTGCTGTGTTCAAAATGGGTAATAATTATAATAATAATAATACATTTGATTTATATAGCGCTTTTCCTGGTGCTCAAAGCACTTAACAAGCAAGTAAAGAAGAAAAATAACAACAAAAGTAAAAAGTGCTAAACTAGGTGGAATAAGGGTGAGGGCTTAGTGGATTAGGAGTTGAAGGCAAGAGTGAAAAGGTGAGTTTTGAGGGATTGTTTGAATGATGTGAGAGTGTTGGCAGATTGGAGTAAATATACTTAAAAGATTATTTCTATATAACATATTGAAGTGTTTACATTAATATACAGAAGGTTTACTGCCGATGCTAATTTGAATTGATTCAATGTTTACAGATTTGCCAGCAAGTGAGAGGATTTTAAGCTAGCTAGCTAGCTAGCTAGCACTGTTACTGTAGACTACAATTCTTTAATAATTTGTAAATCAGTTTTACAGTGTTAACATTTAACAACCTATTAACCTGTTAAACCCCAAGCCTGTTTTTCAGGTCTCAGGCTCGAAAATGACATTCCCAGAACAAATTACCATATCTTCCCTTCTAAATCGGGAAAATTAATAATATTTTTTCTCAAAGTAATGATAAACCTGTGAGTTGGATATAGAAGAGTCAGAATCAATATATATGTTTTTTATTTAAAAAAAAATTCAGATTGAACATAGTAAAAAACTTTAAATTATAGTGTCCGTCCAAAAAATATTTGTTACGTAGGCCTATAGTGAAAACCAACCTTGAATGATGGGTTAGTAGACTAAAAGGGTTAGGAATCCAAAGTACAACATATACTGTAATAAGTACCCTGTATCAAGATTGATGCAAACAAGTGACATTTGACCTTTTTAGACAGGTTTAGCAAAAAAACTCCACCTCCGCCGTTTCTTTGGAACCTTCTTTGGAACCTTCTTTGGAACCTTTCTTTGGTGAGAAGGCTGACTACTACCAAACCATGCATGCTCTCAGGATCCTCAGTGAGGCCATGTGGCGCTTGTACTGGCAAGCACTTGAGGCATGTGCAGCAGACAGAGAAAACACAACACTGGCAGTCATAAGTAGAAAATGTTGTGAAGATGTTGTTTGAGAAAGACACCACTGCTACTGAGAAAGTTAGAGATCATCTGATGTCACGTCCACAGATATCAATCCTACAAGAACGATGTTACTTTTCCAGGAATCTCTGAATGAGCACCCAACTGCAGTTTTCTGGTCAATCTTTCTGAGATGTCAAGACATTCTCCACAGGTTTCATCTACTACCGCGGGAAGGTAACTGGGAAGATCTCTGCGAATCAGCATGGATGCTACCTTATAACTACAAGCAGGACACTACAAATATGGAGCAGCCTTTTTGCTTCTGTATTTGCTGAGATG